GTCGTGTTCTTTATCTGTGCTAAGTCCAGGTGTGCATCTCCATCATGAAATGCTGAGTGTTCAAGAATTAATTTCCACATCTATTTTTTTAAAACAGCTTCCCATCCCCAATGAATATATAGATAGTGCAGATAATCTGGAATACATACAAACTAGCATAACCAGAAAAACCTGATGTTTATACTGATACTGTTACCGTGTATAAAAACGAAAATGCAGAGTTAAGAGAAGACAAGGTCCAGCCTTCTTCCAGCTCGTCAAGTTTTTTAAATGCTGTAAAAGACTACTGCTAGTGTGAATTCGGACATCGTCTGTCCAGGTTTTGTGCCGTGCCCATCAGCCTAGTACGTGCGTGCCTCCAAAGAGACCTGCGCTGGCAGGTCTGCAGAACGATTTTGGTCCTTACTCTGATTTTGATCCCTGCCTCTGGGATCAGCCTTCTCTGTACCGGTCTTTATTTACCTTCCAGAAGCCTTTTTAACCTTAATAGCCAAAAACCCACAGGACTGGGGCTTCTCATGGTTTTTCGCTTTGGCTGAATTCTCTCGAGCGGACCGTACGTCAGGCCTGGGTCTGCGCGCGTACGCTGGGGCACCTGTGGTGCCCGAGCTGGTGATTGCGAAGGGGAAGCTGAGGCAGAGATTTGCACATCCCCAGCAGAGCCTGCTTATACCTCCCATGCACATTTTAGGATTTCTTCTTTGTAGGGGGTTTTTTTTTCCACTCCAATCTGCTGAGTGCTGCAGTAGGGGCTGTTACAAGAGATGGAAATAAATAAAATATTAATAGAACTTCAAAGTGAGTTTGATTCTCTAAAGATAAGTATTATTTATAATCTACACTCCCGGGCTGGGGGGAATGATTCGTATCTTTGCTCCACCTCAGGGCAGAGCTGTTGTTTGTACGACAGACAAACTGGCGGCACGCAGGGAGGGGGCAGCAAACGCAGCGTCCTCAGTGTCCCCGGCGGTGCCGGGGCCTGCCCACGTCTCGCGCTCGCAGGCGTTGCTGCTTTCGGTCCCTGACACCTTGCATGGGGTGGGATTTCTTTCAGTAAGTCGCGTCCCCGCATCCCCTGGCAGATGGTGGTGGGCTTGGCAGTGCTGGGTTAACGGTTGGACTCAATGATCTTAAGGGTCTTTTCCAACCTTAACGATTCTGTGATTCTATGATCGATTCTATGGGGGGTTTCGGCCGCGTTTGGCAGTGTGGCGATGCTCTTGAAGGTGCTTGGCTCCTGCTAAAAGCAGCTGATGATGTTTAAAGGAGAAAAGTAAATGGCCGGCCTATTTTAGGGGACATCTGAGGCCTGAAGTTTGCTGTAAAAGCGGCCGTTTGGGTACCCACGCGGGACAGAGCATCCCATGGGCGGGGGGGACGCGGTGGCTTGGTGCAAACCACAGCACCACCAGAAACCAGCCCCTGGAGTCTTCTGCTTGTGAGACTACGTGGTGTGGGTTAGTTTTGATCTTTTACTGTAGATGCATGTGTGTGCACATACACACACACAGAGGTGTTTGTAACCTGGTAGAGTGGGAGTTGAAGTCTTTCTGTCTCTCAGAAAATACGCTGTGTGTGGATGACGAAGCGATGGGGCTGCCTGAATCTTCTTGCAAGCGATTGAAACTGCAGAAATAAATCATCCGGGAAAACACGCTATGGCAAGGCCGTTGCAAGGTGGCGGGTTGTGTAGCCGTAGGGTTAGAAAGCGTTGGTGTTTCGGGGCGGCCCCCTCGCTGTGGCACGGGGAGGATCGCGGGTGGGAGGGGTGCTGCAGCCCCAGCTCCATCCCATCTCGGGTTGCCTGCCTCCCACGCGGAGAGAGGGGAAAATGGGCTTCAAGGCAGTCATAGCGGATAAGAAATGGTCTTTGTTTTGTGTAGGGATGGCCATACATTGGGCTTGCTCACTAAGCAAGCCTGGAATTTGCCAGTTGGCAGGAAAAAAAGCTGCAAATCTCAAGAAGCAAGATTGATCACGTAGTGGGTTGTCAAAGAGAAGAAAAGAACTGATAGTGTTTATCATTCGGTTGTGAGACGTAACATAGGTGCTTACCTTCCAGATCTCTTGAGAACCTAAAGGAGAAGAAATGTGAGGAAGTCTTTTTTTTATTAGAACCAATTTTAACAAATGTGAATAAAACTTCCTATCAGTATGTCAGCGGTAAAGTGGTGGTGACTTTATGGCATCTTGTTTTTGCATCTGAATTCAACACTTCAGTTCAAAAATCCTCCAGATGATTAGCTCCCCATTATTACCATGTCTGCTTCTTGACGTGGTCAAACAAGAGGTAGTCTTCAAGAAGTCAGGCCAAATAATCAAGATAGCCAGGCTGCCCTTCTTCAAGCTGGACCACCCAACTGGAGGCATCTCCTGTAGCCCTGCAACGAGGTGGTCCAGGGGAGGAGGTGGGCTGCTCCGGGGCAGGAGCAGGACGGGATGCTTGCCATCTCCGGCTCTGTCTGTCTGTCTGCACAGGTCATGGATGGAGCCCGGGGAGGCTGGCAGGAAAATGGAGGGACCCAGAGCGAGACGTGGCCTCTGTCAAAGCGCCTTTACAGCTTCCAGCCGCTCTCGGGAGCTCTGCTCCAAGGGTGGTGGGTGGTTGCCAACCAGAAGTGGTATCATATGTTTCTTTGTCTTCATCGACCTCAAAACTAAATGGTTTTCGTCTTTTGTAGAATCGCAGAAAAATGTAGATTGGAGGGGACTTGTGGAGGTGGCCGCGGTGAAGCCCCTGCCCGCGGCGGGGCCAGCTTTGGAGTCAGGTCCAGCTCCCAGGCTCGGTCAGGTTGCCCAGGGTCGTATGCAGCTGAGCTGGGTGCCGCTGGGGAGAAGGATGGAGAAGGAGAGCCTGTTTCACTGGTGCTTTTCTTTCGTAGGTGTGGGGAAAAAATACTTTTTCCCCTCAGAAGGATGTCATCAGGATTTTATTGAGTTTTCTGCATTGAGATTTCAGGACGTGGAGCTGCCGAGCTCTAAGCGCCCCGTAACAACCGATTCTCTCTTAAAACCAAATAATGCTGGCTCCAGTCTTTTCTTAGTATCTCATGTTTTAAAAATTAAAATGTCTCAACAAGGAGAGAGTTTTTCTCTCTGCTATTTTACACTTGCTTTCGGTTATTTGCGTTTCGTCTAGTAGTAAAAGATTTTCTCAAGTTCCCCTTGGCAGGATTCCCTTTTATCTTTCTTACTGCGGTCTCGACTTGCTGGTAACAATTATCCTATATTATCTTGTAAGTCTGATTAGAAACATCCCTCCATCTTTTTATCTGCCTGAGTACTTACTTTTTGAGAATAAAGAGCGATTTACAGTTCTCTGCCGGGTTTATCGCCCCTTTCACTCGAGCGTTGGGGGATGCATGCACCGGAGGAGGTGGAGCGCCGAGTTTTCCGTGCGGACACGCTGTCTGTCTGTCCCTACAGACGTCCGTCGGTACCTCTCCCGCTCGGAGCGCAGCCAGCCGGAGCTGCCGTGCAGGACCGGGGAGGCAGCGCCGGTGTTACCGCTCCGGGTGCTTTTTTATCAAAGTCTCCTGCAGCTCCTGACAGTTTTGCTCTTCAGATGCTTAACTCTTCTCGGCGGTCTCCTTTATTTAATGAAGGAGCAACCCTGCTCCGCAGAGTGTGCCTGCGAGCCACGTAGAGGGGAGGAATGGATGCGTTTCCATCGCGCCCGCGCTGTCAGCTCCGATGATGGCATTACTGGAGTGTTTAATAAAACCTTTATTGGTATATTACCCGGAGTCATGGCGTTGGCAGGGATGGAGCCCCTTCGGGTTTGGGACTCGGTGGTTAATGAAATACAGCGAGCGCTAATTTGGACGGGGCTTCTCGTTTTGGAAAGGCAGGTGACACGTTATTATGTTTGGGGGGAGCGGCTCGCTGCCGCAGCTCCCGCTGTCAGAGGCTTAGCTGGCATTACGGGGAAAAAAAATGGCAGGCCTGTGAATCTGATCCCCCGAAATGAAAGTCGAATGCCAAATTGAAATTCCTGCAGGATTTCCGATAGCAACGGGGGAATTGAGAAGCCCACAATTAAGCATATGGGCATTAAGATAATTGTCAGATCTGTTGGCGGACATGATAGAAGACAGATGGGTAGGAATCAGTGCGCTCGGCTGCAGCACCCTGGGAGACAATTTGACGTTTTACCTGCCTGAGCTGCTCTGCCGCGTTTGTCACGAGGCGTGCGGCGCAGTGTCCTCCCGGGCGGCCTGCGCGGTGCGGTGCGAGCGGCGTGCGCGGTGGCGCGCGGTGCGGCTGTACGGGCCATCTGCGCCCTCTAGTGAAACAGGGCCCGGTGCCGGGCCTCACCGTCCCCATCCCTCTCCTGGGGTCCCCAGGACTTGGGGTTCGGCCAGCTGTCCGGCGCCGCAGGGCCTCAACGCTGCCTCTCTCCTCCCCGGCAGGTTGGAGCGCATCGCGAGGACGGGGTCAGCCTCCGCGGGAGCCACTCGCTCGTGCCAAACCAGGTCCCGGTCCCCCAGCTGCCTGTCCAGTCTGCCACGTCCCCGGATTTGAACCCACCCCAGGACCCGTACAGGGGTGAGTACCGCCTGCCTGGGAAGCCGGTCCCCAAACAGGCGGCCGGGACGGCGGTGACCCGGGCTGGCGGGACGAGGTGTCTGCGCTTCTGGTGACAGGGATGGTGGAGGCTGTAACGCAGCACCGGGCGCAGCCGAGGCTGCAGGGCCCGTTTGCTGATCCAGCTCTGAAATACTCCAGTTATTACAACTAGAAGCACGCAAGCAGCTCCAGACAGTGAGTCTTGACACCAGGACTGCTTTAAGCAGCAAAATTAAGCGTGTAGGAAACACTGCAGGAGGCACATCGGAAAGGCGTGAGTTTAAGACCTGCGGATTTTCCACCGCCTTTACAGTTCTGCCCGCGGGCAGGACGCCTCTCCTTGGCTCATGAGATGTGCTGCGCTCTCCTAAGCCTCGCCGACTCCTCGGCAGGGTGGCTGCAAAGCGGGCCTGGAGCGAACCGAACCCAGAGGACGTCGGGGGGTTGGTGTTATTCCTAGAGGTAGCTGCTCTTCCCGTTAAAGTGAGGAAGAAAGAGCCCAGACTGTTACGATGGCTTACAAGGTCTTGCTCATTGCAGCCAAGGTATTTTGATTATTTTATGAGAATGACATAGGAAAGATTTTTTTTTTAAGATGAAGGAAAAGTTAAATAGTGATTGAAGAACAGGAGTAGCAGCTAGGAGTCCTGTGCCACCTTCCTCAGACCCGAGTTAGACCTCCAAGCCCCCGCCAAAACCCGATCTCGGGAGGTGCCGTCCCCACGCATGGCTCTGCAGCAGCCAGCTGGGGCTGGGCCGCGGGTCACCCTTCGCCGGGGACAGGGGACAGACACACAGGCCGTTCGGGCCTTGCCTTCATCACTGCTTGACAGGTTGTCCGTGTGTTTTCTCGCAGGCATGCCAACCGGACTGCAAGGGCAGAGCGTCTCTTCGGGTAGCTCCGAAATCAAATCTGACGACGAGGGAGATGAAAACCTCCAGGACACAAAGTCTTCTGAGGACAAGAAACTAGAGGATGACAAGAAGGATATCAAATCAATTACTAGGTCAAGATCTAGGTAACAGTATATAATAGTGTCGCTTCATTTAATTCCTTTACTGGATTTCGATGAAGTGAACAGAACAGGAGGAAACTATGAGGTTTTTTCCTGGCAGGTAAAACCACAGCCTAAGTGGAACGGGATGGCTCTTCTGGCAGTACCAAGTACTTTTCTGGTACCTGTACTCCGGGACGTCATCAAATTCAAACAATTCACAAATTTGGACGCTGAGCAAGTTCTCCACAATCTATAAAGAAATTGCATTACGCTAAAATGTATGAATTAGGCTGTTATTCCTCTCTGCCCCTGCTTGCAAATTGGAATACAGTGTGGATTTTCATCTCTTTAAAAATGTGCCTAAGAGCTGGTCACACCTGCATCTGAACTAACAAACCGTATGCTTTTCTTTTACCTCTGAAATAAATTTGTCATTCCCAGTCCTCGATTTCCGTAAATCTCTAGGGCTCCCTAGGTTTAAGCGGAGGGTTTAGAGGTCTATGCTTGTTCGACATAGACTTTATACATTTTGGGGAAGTATTAGTGAAGGCGTAGCTGGATTGTATGATCTGGGAGCGCAGGCCCATGGTAAATGTGACCGATGTCTATGGGTGCTGCAGATGTGAACCCGAGCAAGGGACGGGCTTCGCTCCTGTCCCTTGCAGTTCAGCTGCCTCGCCTGCCTGTCAGCACAGGGCCCGAGGCACAGCTCAGGACCGCAGGTACTCATCATCGTAGCTGAAAATCCCGACAAAACTGAAACCCAGGCACAACCCTGCTTTGTCCAGGGGAAGTTTTTAAAGACGAATGGCAGCGTCCTTCTGCCTTTTCTCCTCCCATGCCTGGTTCTCTGTATAAAAACGGAGCCGCGGTAGGAAGCATCTGAGCAGACGTGCTGCCCCCAAGAGAGCGCCGAGTCTCAGACCTCTCAGGCCAGCGCTCGTGACGTTTAAAGCATTAATTACATGCACGTCTCTTATGACTGGAGAAAATATATGACACTCGAGATCTTCTCTGAATAAATGTGTTGAAGTAACCGTATGTATAAGCGAGGCTTTCATGTGCGTTTACGATATGGCAAGAAGAAAGCACCTTTATGCTGATGTGAGGTGATCGTAGTTCTTGTTAATTCAACAAATATGCTGTCGCTTATGCATATTTATGTGTGCTTTGAAGCTTTTGTAGGCTAACATTTTTGCTTTTAACATGCTTGCAGCTTTAAAAGGTTACTCCTGATATTTAGTTATATGTCTAAATCCATGTCGTTAGGGCTGCTGAGAATTTATTACTCCATTTGCATAACCAATTCAAATTATATAGTGCCAGTGACTCACCAGTGGATGCGTTTTCAATTTAAAATCATCATTTTATCTGGATAGAAAGCAGTTTTGTTGCAGAAAGGATGCAGAAGTTCACCGTAGGGCTCTTCACAGCCATAAATTACTTCCGTGGGTCTTTGCCCACGGGCGTTTCGGTGCCCCGTGCTCCGTGCAGGGGCTGGGGTGCTGCCCGCACCCACCGCCTGTGGCTTGCCGCTGCTCGGGAGGGTGGCGGATCCTCACCCTCAGCGGTGGAGAAAGCTTCTTCCAAAACCGGAATGACGGTCTGCTGACAGGGAAGCGTGTAAATGCACGGCTGTCATCCTGGCTTGGAAGTTACCGCTGGGGGGCCGGAGCCCGTGGGACTTGGGCGCGAGCACGGCGGGAGATGGGGCAGGTCCCCTCGCTCCCGGGGCGAGCCACCGGCAGCAAAGGTGGGAGCAGTGCAGATAGCCACCACCGTGTCCTTTGGGGTTAAAGGGTGACAACAGGCGGAGATCTGCCACAACTGAAAATGTTGCGGTATCGGCTGTGCTAAAATATGCCATTGAAAAAAGAGCTGTAGTTTTGCTTCTTTAAAGTAGCACAAGTCCTGCCTTGCAGGATGTAAAGCTTCGTTACAAACCAGGGCTTTACTCAGTGTAAGATTTCAGGGGACTGAACTTTGCGCAGGTCTGGTGGCAGCAGGACAGCAGATCAGGATCGCTCAGAAGGTGTCTGCTCGTGAACTGCAGCCCTAGTTTTGGACAAAGTCTGTTGAAAATGTTTGCACCGCTTATTTTCCACATCATTAGAAAATGATGTATTCCTTTTGTCTCCCAGCAATAACGATGACGAAGACCTGACACCGGAGCAGAAGGCCGAGAGGGAAAAGGAAAGGAGGATGGCCAACAACGCTCGGGAGCGCCTGCGCGTCCGCGACATCAACGAGGCTTTCAAGGAGTTGGGCCGGATGGTGCAGCTCCATCTGAAGAGCGACAAGCCCCAGACCAAGCTCCTGATCTTACACCAGGCTGTGGCTGTCATCCTCAGCTTAGAGCAGCAAGTCAGAGGTCAGCGTGCCACCTCTCGGATCTCCTGACACCCCTCCCGGGCTTCGGCCGTGCCGAACACACCTTTCTGGGGGGGGGGGAAGCGTGGCCGGGGGGGAGCCGGGGCCGGGGCAGCCGGTGCCGGGGAGAGAGGCAAGACCCAAGCCTTGGCACCCAGAGCCGGCTGGGCACCTCTGAGCACCCAGGGTGCTTGTGTTCCCCAGCACCGGGGGTGCTGGCGTAGGTCCTCGGTGGCCTCAGCACATTTTAGGGTCTTCAGCAAGATCCAAATTCAATATTAAGCTTGGCTGCTCCTTAGCAAAGCACAAACACGGAGGTATTTGCAGAGCTTGTGTGTGGAGTTGCGCTGCATTTCAGCGCTTGACCTGACCGAGCTGCATCCTCCGCTTCAGCCCGCTAAATTCCCCTTAGCAGGACTGGAACGAATAAGTGACGATTAATTATTTTAAATGCCCATGCAACGAGCGGACCAATCTGGTATATAAAAATGTGAATATTTGAACTCGCCTTTTGCTTCCATTCAACAGAAAGAAATCTGAATCCTAAAGCAGCGTGTCTGAAAAGAAGGGAAGAAGAGAAAGTATCTTCAGATCCTCCTCCGCTTTCCCTGGCAGGACCCCACCCTGGGATGGGAGATGCCTCCAATCACATGGGACAGATGTAAAAAAAAGGCAAGTTTGTTTTCGGCCGTGCCCGGGAGCCTTCCGCCCCGCGCCCGGAGGGGTTACCCCGGTGCAGCCCCCCGTCCCGGGGCAGACCGGCCCGCGGGGTGCTGCGCGCGGGGGTGGGTGTGCCGGCCCGCCCCGTGTAAACTGATTTTCGGGTCGCCCTGCGAGCACCCTTGGTTTCCAGGGCCGCGTTGAGGTGGGTTGCTGGAGGAGGGTGTAGGGACGCGCGCTCAGCTCGCCGTGACTGATGAGATCTTTTACTTCTTCCGCAGGTCCAAGTTGCCACATTTCTTCATTTAAGCAAGAGACCACTTCCTTAACAGCTGTATTATCTTAAACCCACATAAACACTTCTCCTTAACCCCTTTTTTGTAATATAAGACAAGTCTGAGTAGTTAAGCATCACAGACGCAAGAGATTTCAGCATTCCCGATTATTAAAACCGAGAAAAAAACAAACAAAAAGTGCAACTTGAGGGACGACTCTCTTTAACATATCACGCAGAATGTCTAACGCAGTATGTTACGAGCTGTAAGTGCACAGCCTAGAGACTGAATGGCAATCTTCTCCACACTGTGGGACAATGCATTTGTGCCTAAACTTCTTTTGGAAAAAAAAAAAAAAAAAATATAA